GCGAGGGGAGGTGCCCGAGGCGTTGGGTGTTGGGCGCCCGAAGCAATGCCCTTCGGTGTCGGCTCAGTCCCGCCAGCGCCAGGCTCTGCGAGCCTGGACGTTAGTCGTGTCGGAGATCCGGCTGTGGTGGTGAATGGGATTTTAAAGATCGTATCGCTGTCAAATCTTAACCTCGGGTTGGTCTGGTAATTCTGTTCCGCACCAAAGTACGCCTGTATTTGCGTTTGTGTTTGCCTTGGGTTCTGTGGCTTTGAAATGGAAAAAATGTAGCAGCACATCCCTCTTTCATCTAGAGTCGGTTCATTAAGATGTTACCCTCAACAAGATGATTGCACAGCAAGTTATTGTTTTAAGTATAATACTTCCTGAACGACAGCCGGGTGTTCGCGCTGTATGATTAGCTCCACAGTTGCCTTGTTCAGTCCTTCTGCGCCTCAGCGGGAGGTTAGCTATGGTGAGCTGGTTTGAGCAACCAGAAATGGTACTGTGTAATGTCCCTTTCCAATCTGTGCACGCTACTTTTTTACCATGGACATAAATTGTGCAGTGCCTTGCACAATGCTGTTATCTGATACACCAGAAACGCAGAAATAAGACTTCTTTTTCCTAGTATGTAGCCGTAAGAAGTATATAGTAGGGATTACACCAAAGATAATAAATCTTTATATTTTGCAAGTAACTCTTCTTAAAATCATTTTCTAGCACAGCTGTTCTTGCCCCCAGACTTGTGGTCACTATGTAAAAGGCTCGTAACCGGTGGTTTTCTGGAAAAATCATGCTTGTATGTTTTGTGCGGTTTTGGCCCTTGAGGTTTCCATGCTGAATGTTGCTCGGAGTTGTTTGCTGATGGAATTCCATACGTGTGTTGTTCATAGTGTGGGCCTTGGAGCTGGGTTGCTCAACAGCAGAGTGTGGAATTCTCCAACTAATTTTTGTCCCGTCTTCTGCGTTCCCTCTTTCTAATCATCGCCTGGTCAAAGTATCGTTTGTAAGTCTCTGTAGTCCTTGGTATCTTTTGGCACTTGAGTTCAGCAATGCTGACGCTCTGAGCTTCCTCCTTCTTATATTTGTATTATTGAGTATCTTTATCCACTGTACTTTTCTTTGATACTTTCATACCTCTCTTCTGTCACAAGAGCTTTCTTTCATAAGTTCAAGCTTTGATGTATCTTGAGTTTGGGGTTTTTTTCTCTTCAGGTTCTGGGAGGACCTACCAATCTCTTGACCAGGCTGTCTTTTGCTAGTACCTGTAATTCAGGTTCCATCTTTCTAGTAAATTATTTTACTTAGCCACCTTACTGAAATCTGACTGCGCTTCTGAGGAATTCCGTTTTCTCTTTTGCTCAACCCCACATCTCCCTTGCTGTCTCTCTGTATGCCAGAGGCATGGCTTGCTTTCACGCTGTCCCTCAGGAAGGCTGACATGAAAATACCGTGTGATGCGATGTGAGCTTACAATGTTGAGGGAATTGTGTGTTTTTTGGTTTTATTTTTATTCTCTTTCTCCCTTCAAGTTTAATTTGCACTGGTCTCATCCTGTTCTGGCAGTTCTTAAGTCTTGTGTTGTATTAGCTTTGTAATGCCATCTGCCTTTGCCTGTACTCCTGTAGTTAAGTGTATGGTTTTCTTATAGTTGGAGGGGAGAGTGTGGAATGATGAACTTATTTTAGTTTCAGCTGGTCTAGAGGCACTTGACTTAGAGATGGTCGTATATGGACACTCTGTGTAGATTCCTTTCCTTAAGTTTAGGAAGTTTCCTTCTAGGAAGGACAGTTGTGTGAACAATCTTGAGATGCCTCTGCTACACCCTGAAGTCTAGACTTATGTATACTTCCAGAAGACATGTGGCTCAGAAGAAAAAACACGATCAGTTGTTTAGTTGAAAATCAAGCTTGCCATGAGCATGTAATGCCACTGTTGAACTCTTCCTCCTTTTATCAGTCTTTGTTGAAACTTCCTGTTGACCCAAAGAAAAGGAAAAGTGAAGGATACTTCTTTCAGTTGCAGCCAGCTGTTTTTTTCTAATATGTTTCACACTTAATCCATGGTGGTTGAGTGCTCATGACTTGCTGCTGTCTGGCAAAGTTGTAGTTTTGCTAGTCCTGGTATGCAGTGATGTCTGAGGCAGCAATTTTTAACATGGCTCTCTTCGCTAACCAGAGTCTGTGAGCTGTCTGCATGGCTTTCCCCAGACTGTGACAGTCTCCTTCACCTCTTGCATCACTAACAGCATCCATTTCATCTCTGGTCATGTTTGTCATTAGTCTGGAGTTCCCTATTGCCAGTTCCACTAGAGATTCTCTTCATCCTGGGTTCTACAGACATGAACATGAAACTGTTCATGACAAAATATTTAGGAATTCTCTGGTGTCAGTCCTGCTTCAGAACATATGTTTAGAACATATGTTTTTCCTTTTGTTCATGTAATTGATTCTTTTTTTTTTTGAAATGCTGTCCAGTTTCTGTTACTTTTGTGTGAGCTTTGCTTCTTTGTCTGTCGTCCTCCTTTCTCTTGTGCAGTAGGAACCCCTGAGTTCTGTTTTTTGCTTTAATCCTGTTCACCTAATTGTTGGGTAACATTATCTTCGTGATTAACTCTGGTTGTGTTAACTGAGTTGCAGTTGTATCTTGGGTCTTATTCTGGCAATATTTAAAGCCGTTGTTTTTAGTATGGTCTTTCAGATAGCTGGCAATTCAGCATGGGTTCTTAACCAAAGCTAAGAGGCTATCATTGCTAATTCCTTCCTCTCACCATAGATGTTGTAGTCCATCTTAAACCTCAGGTATTATATTTACCCTAGGCTTCTGTTCAGATAGTCATATCCAAGGGATGTTGAAATCTTGCAGGTTGTACTTGTCTATCTGTTTTAACTGCTATTCTTTGAGGCTCTGGGAATTCTTAGGTAGCTAGATATCATTTAAAATCTTATAAACATCCTTTTGACCCTAAAAAACTTAATGTGGTCCTATTGGCATATTTATCACTTACTGCTTTGATTGTATCTACTGTAAAGCCGCTGTTGAACTCTTCCTTCACATCATTAAAGCTTCTCTGCTGGCTTTTACTTCTTGTATCAAAAAGAAGCTCATCAGAACTTACTGCTGTCCTGCTGCTGATTCAGTCTTAAATTACTGAATTAGTTCTCCTTGCTCTCTCAGCTTATGACCACTGTCTGCATTGCTTGTGAGAAATAGGAAAGGTGCATGCTTGAAACTATTATTCCATGCTTGCTTTGTGTAAGAATTAAAAAAGCTATCTCTTGGTCTTCCTCAAAATAATCTTGCTGTTGTTATTAGTGGTCTTGTATCAAGAACAAGTCCATCCTTTGGTTTCTGGCCTACTTTTTCAGGTATGAAGTATGCAGATACATTAGACAGCTTTGTTCTGCAAGTCTTTTGGAAGGTGGAGACCACAGCTGAGGACACATCTGCCAGAGTAAGCATTAAGCAATAATGAGGATTGCTGACTTTGGCAACAGTTTCTGGTAGTGCTTTTTATTCTGTATTTGCCTTTTTAACTGTTGAAATAGTTGCTATGAATCTGATTGTCACTGCTAAAATGTTGGAAACTACCTGCTGTAGGGCCGCACGGTAGTTGCCAGATGTCATCTTCGAAGCGTAAGTCTTGCAGCTACCGGAAAGACTAGATGGCACCTCTGTGGGGAAGAAGCCTAAAAATCAAAGGTTCTGGAACTGTCTTTGCAATCACTGAGGTTTTTGGAAGAGTGATGAAGTTGGAATGACATTTGACAAGGCAGGGCTTGTCTGTGTACTGACTGTTTTCTACATCCCTATCTGAACAGCCATCTACATAAGGCAGTAGATGTCTTTCCAGTGTTATACTAGTGAGATGTAGTTATACTACTATTTCTAATATTTGTAGGAAATAGTAAGGCATGTTGGCAGTAACTTAAGTCATCCTGAATTTTTGAAAGAGGTAAGCAACTGAAATTCCTTTGTGCTTCTTCTGTGTGTGTAACTAGGTAAAGCTAGCAAGAATTGGAAGGATCTGGGAGAAAGAAATAGCTATAGATTTGTCTATCTGTCTTGTCTGTAGACTGCTGAAAGCTATTGTAAAGCATGTGACTTTTTTTTTTCCCCTTTCACTGTAGAGGGAGACTAAAGGCATTTTTATTGTTGTTCTAAAGCTGATATTTGAATCTCTTAAGCAGTAATGCCTCTTAGAGATTTGTCAAATGCAGCCAAAATCAAAAACTGTTAATTTCAGTCAGCAACCCTTTGACTACAGGGGCTATAACTTGCTATTTCTATGTACTTAGTATCTAGTTATAACATGCCAGAAGTCTCCTAGGCCTCTGTTACTGCTTGGCAGCAAGGCTGGTATTATTTGGGCGCTGATAGTAAACAATACAGAATCGAGTACTTGGAAGTTGAAGAGTTTGATGAAGCACAAAAGGACATGTTTTTTCTCAGAAGGGGACAAGATATTCAGCAGTATCAAAGGACTAGCCATTTAAGCAAGTAGGCTTGCAAAGTAAACTGAAGGCAATCAGTCTTGGTCTAGTGTGACTGTCTTTGCAAATGTGGGCTGTGAGACTCATATTGATGTTTCTAATGATGTTTGAACAAAAGAGGTGTGTTCAAAACCAGTGTGACTGTTGTCTAATGTACCTTTTCTGTTATGCTTGCATTTGGATGTTGGCTTCAGTACAAATAGATTGACTACTGAAGTCTGCTTGTAAATTCATCTCTCTGTCAAGAAGGCAATTACCCGAGTTGTCAACTGCTTTAGATTTTTAAAAAAAACAACTAACAAAGTTA